AAAATTCCAGATTTTAGGAAATCTTGTTTTCAGTTCTGCCCATTTCTGTTTGCCTATGTTAGAGGCCGAATTAGGCTTAGCACAAAACATGAAAGTTTTATAGAATGATGTTTATAGTTGCCTAAAAAATTTCAGCTCAATCGGAGCAATGTATCCTGTGAAAAGACCAAAATACCCCTACTATCCTGTTTATGTCTGAAACTGATAATCAGCTTATGTAATTGGTTAGTTTCACCAGGAATATTACTGAATTGGTTGTTGATGTATTCTTAAGAATTATAACCTTGTATCTTAGCTTTCAAATGGCTTTGGAATTACTTGAATTGGAGTTGTGTGTGCTGAGATATGAGTGAATGAATAAGGATTGCTTGTTGAATTTCACAGTGAGTTTCGAACTGGAAAATCTGGAGTTATTTTGGTAAATTTGACCTAGTTAGGGTGAGAACTGGACTGAGTTGTCCTCATGAAAGTTGTAGGTCTTTGTCTTAGTTTCGAAATGGTATAAATTTCATTCCAATCCGATGGGGTTAGCTTCACTTATGGATATTGTGCCGAAAAGTATTAAACGGAACTTTTATACGTTAACTGCGATCGTTGCGGAAAAGTTACGCTTCAGGGAATAAATTTCGGTTTCTAGGGTTTAATTGGGGGTTTTTCTAATGGTGGCTCTTATGCTTCGAATTAGCTTTGATTGAGGGACATTGTGGCCCAATTGGATATATTATATTGCATATTAACCGTATGTATGATAGGTAATATATTGTAGGTTGCATATTATATTGTATATTGTATGGGGAAATGTTGTCCGAACTTTGAGAATGTATGATTGCTTTGAGTTTGTGATTTAGGGCTTGGACTCAGGCAAGATAATGATATATGATGGATGGTTTCTGAGCCGTGGAGGTGAGTGACTCTAAACTGTTTCCAAAGTTACTTTTGAACGTTTTCTTGCATTATTTACTCGATTTCATATCATGAGTGTGTGCATGTGGTCCATGACATGTTTTGGCTCAAATGAGTGCTTGGAATTCGTGTGCTGGACACCAACGTCTCCACCACTTCAATGGGTTCATGACATTATCTGGAGCACCAACGTTGCTCCCTCTTACTGTTAAACGTTAAAAGATCTATTTGAGCGTTGGGTGTTTAAGTGCAATGATTTCACTGGCTCACGAGAGCAATAAACGGATATTTGATTACTGAATCATGACATCATCGAAATGCATTATTGGGAAATATATTTGAGTACTGATTTTACTGGTTACTCACTGGCTCTCAAGTAAACTTAGGTGGGTTAAACTTCAGGAACCTCTCCAAAACCCTATCTTCTCCTCTATCCTGGCCCTCGGACTGGTTAAGTAGTCCTGGACACTGTCTCTGCTAACTGCTTAAGGATATCAATCATCTTATTAATGGCAATAGCCACTTGATTACCATCTAAATTTTCTTATCCCTGAGTCGGCCGCCGATCCCTGATCATCCCCTTGAGGTTGGGCTTGCCTAGACCCTTGCCTACGACCTCATCCACTCCTTTGTCCATCCATAGTTCTAGTGGTGCCTAATGCAAGAAATAAAAGTGATCACGCGAGAAATTTCTTAAAACAAAAGCTAATCTTGAAAACATCAGAGATAACAATAATTAACATGTTTTACACTTTAAAGTTCATACAATTAGTAAGTCGGGGGTATTACAAAAATCTAGCACACAAGTGTCACAAAAAGATTTTTAGTCATGCACGACTAAAGTAAAGTCAAGCGCCTCAAAAGTAGGCCACACAGTTAAACAAAAATGTCTTGACCTTGGCACCAGCATGACCCCCAACTAAGTCAATCCTTTATAACTTTAGTAGGTCTGATCTTCTCGTTCATTTCCGATTCATATCAAGCATTAGGATTCTATTAAGTTACATAGAACCATCCATCAATCTTTCTCTACCTCTCTCTCTTAATTATTGTGCCATCTTAGCCAAACGACTATTGGTTTCTTGTAACTATTCATGTGAAATATCGATTCATTCTTTTCCCCGCAAATGGAGATCTCAAATCCTTAACATTGCCCTCAACTCTTAAGCATTTAGATACAAGAATCCGAAATAAGATAATTCACATCTCGAACTGGCCAGTTCCAAGAGTAAATCGCCATATTTGAGATTCCTACCCAACATACATATCTAGTGTTCCTTAAGTATTACGATAAAAGATTTATACTTATCACATTCATGATTCACAGCTTACACTCCAAAAGAGTACTTAAACCTTTACTCATTCATATGATAAGGATCATAATACTATTTGGCCTAAACTCACCCCGCGCAGATACCACACGAAGTGGCTCTGATTTTTTTTTTTATCCCTACAAGTGGTCACTTAATTTTCAAACCAATCCCATAGTCCGGCATCCTAAACTTCAAGCCTATGATACCTTACAAGATCTAAAACTTAACCTCTGATACCAACTGTGATGCCCCCACTTCTCCCAAGGACGAACCCAAGGGTATCAGCGGGACGCCTGCCCAGCTCTCGCCTTGACTCGAGACAATTCCAATTCAAACCTAGTCTAATACTAACAATGAAAGTCGGAATAAAAGTACAAAGTCATTTCCATACATAAATATCCAGTCTTACGTCACAATTTCAAATTTACAATCACTTTTCCCCAAAATATACAACATCTGAGTTTCCTTTTCTCTTCTCTCTAAAAACCTTCTTTCTAAAAAGCGTAGTTTGTTCGTGAAATCACTTAGTTGGCATGGCTGCCCTTCAGCCATCGGCTGAGGGGCAAAGGTCTCCTACGGAAAAAAAAATCCTTTTCTCAACTTTTCTCACAGCCTTCTACATCACCTATCAAAATTCAGCATGTGTCTGTTTACAAGGTTGAAGCTGCGGTTATTTTCTCTAGAGAAGATGTGGACAAACTTGCGGCACCGTTTAGATGGACTTTGGTTGGAAAATTTTCTCATGGAAGACCTTCATTGGAGGATACTCGCAAATTCTTTTCTTCACTAAATCTGAAAGACCAAGTTTCCATTGGTTTGATGGATTATAGACATGTTTTGATTAAGTGCACCGCTGAAGTAGATTTCAACAGGCTTTGGATGAGAGGGATTTGGCAATTGGGTAAATATCTGATGCGTGTATTCCGATGGACCAGGGAGTTTCATGTTCATAAAGAGTCATCTCTGGCTCCAGTTTGGGTAGATCTTCCTAACTTACCTATTCATTATTTTGATAAACATTCTTTGTTCTCCATACTTTCTCCAATAGGAAGACCTTTGTTCTTGGATTCGGCAACGGCTGCTGGGACACGACCTAGTGTGGTGAGGGTCTGTGTGGAGATTGATGTATCGAAGCAAGTTGTACCGAGGGTCTGGATAGCTGTTGAAGAAGAATCAGGTTTTTGGCAAAACATAGTACCAGAGAATCTGCCGTCATACTGTTCTTGTTGCTGGAGATTGGGTCATTTGTCTGTCGACTGCAAGAAGAATTTGACTGAGCCTCAATCCAAGCGGCTACAACATGGTTTATATTCACAAATTCACAAGGACTCCATGCTAGTAACCAAACAAATGCATTTTCCTAATGGGAAAGTTACTGATGAAGTGCCAGTTCTTGGTATAATTAAGGATGAAGGGACATCAGCCGATGCAAGGGTGAAGAATGAACGATCTGTCCAGCTCGAAAACGAAAGGAAATTAATGGATACTGATGTGGGTTTACAAACACAAAATGTGAACAATGATTTTTTGTCAGAATGTTCAGATCGTTCACATGAGCACAATACAATTTTTAATGAGAAACATTCTGAGAATTTGACATTAATAGGTGTGGATGACAATGAAGGAAACACAACAGCGGTTACAATGAAGCCTCCTCTATCTGTTCAACAAGCCATTGATGCAGAAACAGTAGTGACCGAACATGGAGATACTGATGTGGGATTACAAAAACAAACATTGGATGCTGCTGGACAAGTACAACCCATTTTGGGTGATGGTTTGAAGAACATTATCCAAGACCATGATTGTGAAGGGTCCCAGATGGTAGTGGATACTACTTTGACAGATTTACAACAGCAAAGGGCCGAAACAAAGGAAATGGCCGACACTCAAATAACTTATAATTTCAACAGCCATGATTGTGAGGGGTCCAAATCAATTGCAAAGGAGTATTATGAAGCTGCTCAACATCACAAGGCCGACACCAATGCACTTAACAATCTTTTTGTTGATTTATGTGGGGACGAGTCGGACAACTTCACTTCAAATATGCCGAATGAAGTCATATTGCCAACTAGTGTTGGCGATTTATCTCCACACCTGGTTGAAGCTCATGACAAGTCCTTGGATCCATCAATAAATCCGTTAAACATTGACCAATCTGTTGTTGACGAGAAGAATGGCCGACAAACGAGAGGCAAAGGTGTGCGGATTATTGTGCCATCTGATAGACAATTACGGTCCACAACATCATTCCAAAACTCATTCTAGGTTCTTTCTAATGATTAGTGGTATCTTTTGGAATATTAGAGGGGTAGCTAAAACCCCTAATTTAAGAAGACTGATTAAATTGGTACGATTTCATCATGTGTCAATTTGCTGTGATTTGTGAACCAAAATTAGATGTGTCAAAATTAGATTTGTGAACCAAAATTGAGTCCATCCGTCTAAGGTTATCATTTGATCATGCCTTTGTTAATCTTTCTGGTGATATTTGGATATTTTATAGAAACCTTTTTGCATGTTCCATTGTGGGTAATTCGGATCAACACATTTCCATACATGTTCAGAATTCATTCATATCTAGTCCAATTATCATGTCGTTTGTCCATGCCAAGTGTTCAGTCGAGGAGCGTCGAGAATTATGGTGCAATTTATTAAATGATAAACCAATCTCTCTTCCTTGGTGTATTGGGGGTGACTTTAATGTCATCCTAGGTGCTCATGAAAAAAGCGGTGGTCGTCCATTCACAATAGCGGGGGGGGGTGGATTTCATGTCTTTCATGGAGAAGGCTGGGATTTTTGATATAGGCTTCTCTGGAGCTAGTTTCACCTGGTCTAATAATCGGAGAGGTAGAGCCAGGGTTTCAAAGAGGTTGGACAGGTTTCTAATTAATGGGTCGTGCTTGGATATTTCAGATGTAATTTCTGTGATTCACTTGGCAAGACATCCTTCAGATCATGCACCGTTGAAGATTTCTTTTGCGGCTCAATCAGACAATAAGCCGTGGCCTTTCCGTTTCTTGAATATATGGACTACCAAACCCGAACTCTTGGAGGTTATTCGACAAGCTTGGAATCAAGATATGGTTGGTTCTCCGTTGTGTGTATTGTGCTCCAAATTATTGGCAACGAGGAGGGCTATTCAAGTATGGAATAAACAACACTTTGGAAATATATTTGATGTTGTGCGATCTACGGAAATGGCAGTCCAACGGGTAGAACAAGTTGTGGATCAAAATGTCTCCGAGGAATTTCATGTTCAGCTTAGCAAGGCTCAGGCGGAATTATGGCATGCACTACCAATTGAAGAACAATTCTGGAGTCAAAAGGCCAGAATAAAATGGCTTGCAAAGAGAGATCGTAATTCAAGGTATTTTCATACGGTTGTTAAGCAGAGACGAGCTCAAGGAAGGATACACCGTATCAAAAATTCCAATGGTATTTGGGTGGAGACGAATGCTGAAATAGTATATGAAGCAATAACATACTTCTCAGATATTTTCACAACGGGCACTTTATAGTCTTCTACTGATTTACTGCATTTAACCCCGCCTATGATCTCGAAAAACGACAATGACAAATTGGAGAAATTACCCTCAATTGAGGAGTTCTATCGAGTTGTGAGATCAATGGATGGAGATAGTGCTGCGGGCCAGATGGATTCACTGGCAAATTCTTTACATTTGCATGGGAAGTGGTCGCCCAAGATGTTCATAATGTAATACTCAGGTTTTTTTGTGGGGCAGAGTTATCTCGATTCATCACCTCTACCTCTATTGTGTTAATTCCCAAGACGACAAATCCTCAAGATTTCTCTCAATTTAGGCCAATCAGTCTTTGTAATTTCTTCAACAAGCTAATATCCCGGATCTTAGCAGATAGAGTGGCTTCTATATTGCCAAAAATTATTTCTCCCCAGCAAACAGGCTTTGTGAAGAGCCGTAATATAACAGACAATTTTCTTTTAGCTCAAGAGATAGTATCGGGCATTGGAAAAAAGAAGAGAGCTGGAAATGTGGCAATGAAACTGGACATGTCTAAGGCATATGACCGGGTGGCATGGGATCATATTATTGGTGTTCTAAGGAGATTTGGTTTTGGGGAAAGATTCATTGATCTTGTACGGCGATTGATTTCTAATGTCTGGTTTTCGGTCATTATAAATGGGTCAACCCATGGTTTCTTTAAATCTTCAAAAGGATTACGTCAGGGTGACCCTTTATCGCCTGCATTATTCAGTATAGGAGCTGAGGTTTTGTCTAGAGGTTTGAATAATCTTGCCTTGCAATCGGGATTTGTGAGCTTCAAAATTTCATACACATGCCCTTCTATAACACATTTGGCATTTGCGGACGATGTCCTCATATTTGCCAATGGATCTTCACATTCTTTAAAGGCCATCATGCAAGTACTATAGGTGTATCAAAGGTGTTCGGAGCAGTTGATAAATGTGCAAAAAAGTTGTTACTTGGTTCATCCATCCTTGTCACTGGCTAGAAGAAGGGTGATTGAACGTATCACCAGTTTTACCTGGCATTCATTTCCAATACGTTATTTAGGATTCCCTCTCTACTTCGGAAGGTGTAAATCATCATATTTTGGAGAAGTATGTCAGTCTACCCTAGGGAGGATTATGACATGGAAATCAAGGTTGCTTTCATTTGGAGGTAAGATAGTTCTAATCAAACATGTATTAGCATCGATGCCATTGCATCTGCTCTCAGCATCGATTATCCTAGCTAAAGTATTTAGAACTATAGAAAATGCTTTGTCGACCTTCCTTTGGAGGTCATCACCCGAGATGTCCAAGTATCACTGGATACGGTGGTCTCAGATATGTTATCTAGTAGAGGAAGGGGGAGTCGGCTTTAGAAGGCTTCAGGACGTCTACAGAGCATTTTCATTCAAGCTTTGGTGGAATTTCAGAAAGGGGATGTCGTTATGGGCTCAATTTATGAAAGCAAAGTACTGTAGACGAAAACATCCCTGTCAGGTAGAAATCAAAACAACGGACTCGACACTCTGGAAAAGGATGGTGAATGTGAGTCGACAAGTGGAACTTTCTATGCTATGGGTGGTCAAAGATGGAGCTTGTCATTTTTGGTACGACAATTGGTTGGGTAATGGTGCATTATTCCTCCGAGCGACGGTTATCCCAAATTTATCATTTAGTAATTTTATCATTAATGGACATTGGGATACGAGTCAGTTATGTCTGTCACTGCCAAGTCAAATGGTGACCTCCATTTTAAACCATCCGGTCCCCGAAGAAGGGGGTGAAGTGGAAGTCATATGGATGCCTACCTCTTCTGGAAATTTCTCTCTAGCTTCAGCTTTTCGGGATATTAGGCAAGCCCGTAACACGTCAGTGGTGTTTGATAGAATTTGGCATCTTTGTCTTCCTTTGAAAGTTTCTTTCTTCATGTTAAGACTGTTGTTGGGGAGACTGCCAATACCTGACAGGTTACGTAACCTTGGTTTCCATCTTCCATCAAAGTGTTTTTGCTGTCTATTGGCATCTGAGGAATCAATCGAACATTTATTTTCCAATGGCAATATAGCATCAACAATTTGGAATTATTTTGGAGCTACATATGGATTCGAATTATCAGGGTCATCTTTGAGACTCCGCATAGTGGGTTGGTGGTTGAATTCATACAATTCTGAGATACGTCGATTTATTAGACGGGTTCTTCCCAGTGTTATGTGTTGGCATATTTGGAAGGCAAGAAATAAAGCAATGTTTGACGATGTCCAGATGCGGTCGATTGCCATTTCTCATGCCATTTTCTCCGAAATCCAATCCATTGTGGGAATTCATTTCAAAAAAGCTCTCCGAGTACCATCATTTTATCATTTGTATGATTGGCCTATTTCATCTGAGGTTGGGTTTACATATAAACTTGTACGATGGAAAACGAAGGAATCTGGTCGGCTCACACTTAATATGGACGGATGTTCTAAGGGTAATCCAGGAGTGGGTGGAGGCGGTGAGTTCTTCGGGATTCAAATGGCCTACCTTTGATTGGTTTCTCGGCATATTTTGGGGAAACGACATGTCTCCATGCAGAGGCTCGTGCCCTCCTTATTGGTCTACAAATCAGTGCACATAGGGGTTATTTGAGTCTCTATGTGCAATCTGATTCGTTGATATTAATTGGAATTCTCCAGCATCGCATTCATTGTCCTTGGCACATTAGACGGGTTATTAGGCAGATTTGGCAGATTATGGAAGATCCAGATCGGTTTTCCCATTGCTACAGGGAAGCAAACACAGTGGCTGATGTGTTGTCCAACGAGGGCGTATCTCATCCACAGCAGCAACTCAGGATATATGAGACATTTAATAAATTTCCACCTATGGCTCGTGGAGCAATTCGTTTGGATAAATTAGGAATGCCTTCAATTCGAAAAATTAGGCTTGTGTAATAGTTTGTTTTTTTTATCTAAATAAAAAACCATTAAATTTAAAAAAACTAAAAAAAAACAAAATATACAACATCCAAAAGTGTCTAGTCGATTACAATTAAAACACTAATACAAAAGGGCCTCAAGTCGGCATTTATTTAATTCCTTCCAATCGGGTTCCTGTTAAACAAAACAAACTAATAGGATGAGCCAATACTCAGTGAGGCCAAGAAACACACATGCAAATACATAATCCAAATAGCAACAACAATTACATTGTAAGTAAAGCTATCAATGTTCGAATAATTCACATTTCGAATACGAAAAATAAACAGAAATAATTCAAGGATACTATAGCTCTCAGGAGCTAAATTCCACGTAGTCGTATCCATATCTTGATCACATCTCATGTTGACACTCCGTCAACCACATAAGTAGCAAGTCCGTAGATACACCACTTTTCTTCAAATCGCGTCACCGTTACACCCCCTTATCGGACCCGCTCATCAAAGTTTTGATAATACTCGAGTATATCAAGGCAATACTGCGCGAGTAATGCCGAGCAAAATCTCCCCACTAGATCATGCTCTACGAATATGTCATGGTTTGCTAAGCTTATCGACCAATCCCATGCTGGCTCGATTCACAAAGTTAACCAACGAGTTTGGGCGTCCCCCGAATATGAATATGAATATAAGTCGATGAGCAACGCTCAAATCGACGATTTCAAATAGGAATCATAAATACGAATCACATTCACATGACTATGCACAAGTCGAATATGAATTCACATAGCAAAATACGAATATAATTTCGTTCGAAAGAGAACGAGTGCGGTAAAGTACACACTTGTCTCAAAATTTTAAATTCACATAACGGATAAGAAACAGTTAACCACTTAGGACAAATTCATGCACTTGACACTCACCAATCGAAATAAGAAAGTGAGTGCGTAAATAAGCCTGTAGGTGTTCCCCTCGAGATTCTCGTGAAGGTCTCCTTGAGCACCTGAACAAACAATAGTTATCTATTACACACTATCACTTGAAAATCCTTTCTTATCAAGAGAGGGATTGTACACTTGTACAATCTAGAAAATACCATGGAATGGGATTTTACTTGCTCAAAATTCAAGATTTAAAAGTAGTGTTTATTAACGCAAGGAAAAACTGATTTTCTTCATAAAGACAAGTCCAAAATGGTCAATTAGTATTGAAGGGTAGGGAAGAGTTTGAAAAATTCAATTCCCGTCAAGTTTGAAAATTTCTGATTTGAGGTTTAATCTTTGAAAAATCGTATCTCACTCTTCGTATATCCAAAATTGGAAAACTTGGTACCATTGGAAACTACTTCCAAAGTACTAAAAGTTCCTAGAAGACACTTTTCCATGATTATCAAGACAGTTTTGGGGTTGGTTTTTGGCCAATTTTGGAAATTCGGCAAAATTCGTACAAAGCAAACTAGCCTCTAAAATTTGGAACTCAGATAGAATTTGGAACACGAATTGGAGTTTTGAGCACCAAGATATGGTGGTTCAAAATTACTGAAATTTTCCAATAAAACAAGAACTTTCCAGATTTAAACATGGACTTTAAGGCTTTGGTTGGGCATCGAAATGAACTCAGAATGGCACCAAATTTGGCAGTATTAAACTACCATACAGGGGCTATTCCTATGTCAAATCTCATACAAATTCATTTAGAAGGTTGGTTAACAAAGTCACAAAAGTTCCAAGTTACCAAGACAAAGCTGCCGTGTACTTCCATTTCCCTTTCCTAAAACATTTGGCCAACAAAAACTTCTCAAATATGGTCCATTTGGGTAGAAATTATCTAAAAACATCCAAGATACATTTGGTAGGCGGTTAACACCAAAAATTTCGAAACAACAAGTCCCAATCAAAATTTAGGCATCCCACTAGCCACAAGGGGGTTTTTCATCACTAAGTCAGTTTCGGATTTTTGCCACAACTAATTCAATTCAATTCGAAATTGATCGTGGTTTGTGGCGTTGAAAACTAAATTCATATGGCTACAATTTCTGTTCACAACTAGCTCATATCTGAGCATAAAGTTGCAGCTCATCACAAGGCTTCCAGTACAGACACAAAACA